TAAGAATTATTCAAAACAAAATAAATGCTGAAATAAAAAGTACTCAAACAAGTAAAGTGATACTAACTGAATTTAAAATCGTTTTAAAATCTATCAAAATAGTATCACTTTACTTGTTTGTGTACTTTTTATTTCAGCATTTATTTTGTTTTGAATAATTCTTATAGTAAATCCACGATCCCTACTTTCCGTTATAATTCTATTTTTTTCTATTTATTATATTATAATTATGAGTGAAAAGGACGAAACAATGTTTAGGGAAAGTTTGTTTTCTAAAGTGATGGTTTTTTTAACTAAATTAATATACACATTTGCTGATTTTAGGGCAATGTCTACACGGGTGGTGGCCGGTATATGGTGGTTTTTTAACTAAATTAATATACACATTTGCTGGTTTTAGGGCAATGTCTACACGGGTGGTGGCCGATATATGGTGGTTTTTTAACTAAATTAATATACACATTTGCTGGTTTTAGGGCAATGTCTACACGTGTGGTGGCTGGTATATGGTGGTTTTTCACTCTCATCATGGTTTCTTCTTACACTGCTAACCTGGCAGCTTTTCTCACAGTGGAAAGGCTAGTCTCTCCAATAGAAAATGCAGAAGACTTGGCCAAACAGACAACTATTCAGTATGGCTGTGTACAGTCGGGTTCCACACAAGCGTTTTTCAAGGTAGGTCAAATCAACAATGACAGACTAACCCTACGATATTCAATGTAAATGTACTGTCATAACGTATACATATGTATTTGATTATATTACTTTTTGTTCTTTGATTTGTACCAAAGCGACGTTATGAGACGCGTACCGTAAGTAATGCTCATAAAGGAACCTTCAATTGATCTTTTTTGTATCTAAGAAACGTAATGTTTTATTCACTGATATTCTTGTCTTCCATGCTGAACATTCTATGCGTTTGGCCACGTGCAAATTCTTTCTCCCCAAAAATAATAATTAAGTAGCAAAAACACCACCCCTTAAACTTTACTGGAAAAGCTGTATCCATTTCAAGTGTGTTCGTATGATTTCAGCACTCCAGTTAAGAACGTTAAGTCAAATATTGTGTAAAGGTTGTTTTTGTTGTTGGTGCTAAACCAAATATTAATGAAGATATTTAACTGCAATTAATTAGATGCTCTAAGTAATACTACTACTTTTATATACTAGAGAAGAGTTAATTCACTACATTGTACTGTTGACTTTCCTCCAAATTGCTAAAGCACATTAGATAACCATCACAATAAGCCTTGCGGAGGTTTTTGGAGGAACGCGTGTGGAAGTGGCAAAAAAGGCATTTCGAATACATATAATTTCGAGAATCATTATGTCACTACTCAAAATTTTCATCTTTTTGCATCACAATAAACAATATTTGAATACCGTTAATAATTAATTTTTGCTTCACATTTAGCTGGTTCAAAAGAAAACCTTTAACAAAATATTTACAACGTTGCACTTCTTGGTCAAACAATAAGTTTAATGAGTTACATTAAGTTGTACTGAATAGTTATTTTTTTCACATATTAATATATAAGGTATGTTGTGATTTTGGCCACCTTTATTATTTCTTAAATTCTTGTGTATTGTTAGATACACAGGAATGTTTTGGTTTAAGTTTAATGTGAGTGTCATGATTTAGATAGTTTATATAGCACGAATGTTAAATTTAGTTATTTTCAGAAGCGGTAGTTTATCGCAGGTTTGTTCACGTAACTGTTTACAAATCATACGTTGTGTATGATTAGTTTATACCAATAGTTATGATCTGGTGATTGTTATATTAATGTGACATATTACTAGAACTTTGAATTTTACTCGTTGTTTTAATTGAGTATAATTGCATCATAATATCTAGCAGTGTGTCGAACGTTCTAGACCTCTGTCGGGGTATAAATACGCGTCGAAAATGTAGTTCGAGAGTTAGATCTAGACTGCGTGATTGTGAGTTTAGCCATAAAGAGTGTATATTGGCGATTTTTAAAATGAAATTATCACAGGTTGTATTGTAATAACAGAGTAGAGAAGAATAATTCGTCTTGTCAATTGTGTTCTAAATGAATTGAACCAGCCTGTGTGTAATTTGACGAAAGAGAGACAATTATTTAAAACTCTTGATACAACTGTGAAAACCAACAGTGTAACGAACATTTGTATATACATTTGACTTGTTTTAATATATTATTTTAAAACAAGTGAACTGTCTGCTGTTTGTTTATTGTAGAATGTTATCGCTAACAAGTCATAAACACCTGCTGTACAGAATCATGTCCATACAAAAACCTGATATGTATTTTTTATATCTCTTTATGGTTGTCTATATTGTTATAACATCATAAATAGTCCTAACAATTATCTAGTTATATGACACGTTGTAAACGGTGTTTTATAATATACAATGGTGGTTTAAAAGAAAAACTTGATCACGATCTAAGAATCTCTGATTATTGTATACCAAAAAACAAATTTCTAAGACGTATTTAGTGACTATTCTATAAGCTTTGCAATGAGTAAAGCAATTGTCTGAGTTGCAAAAATAATAGTAGATGTGACTATAGATATTCATATAAAAGCAGCATAATGAAACCGTAATTGAAAAATATCTTGTCGAAAGGAATCCAACATTCCAACATACAAGAGGATGTGGAGTTTCATGGAGTCTGCGCGGCCTAGTGTGTTCGTGGAGTCCACTGAAAAAGGTGTAGAAAGGGTTAGAAACGAAAATTATGCTTTCTTGATGGAGTCGACCACCATAGAATATCTTGTGGAAAGGAAATGTGATCTGATCCAAGTTGGTGGACTGTTGGATTCTAAAGGTTTCGGAATTGCCACTCCTTCTGGTAAAACAAATTTCTATTTTAAAGAATTGGTCCACATCTTTCATATGACTTGACCTTTGATGTATGATTCTTATTCATACATCCAGTTCTATAATTTTTTTTCTTTTAAATTGTTTGAAACCTTTCAACTAGTTTTCTAATTAGTATTAACACTCGTGTTTTCTTAGCCATAAATACAAAATGATATGTGTGTGTTTACGTATTTATCAGTATCGTAGATGAGTGCCAACTCACTTATTCCAATTTATTATATAAAACGACTCGAGTGCAGTTAAGGTTTGGCAAGCATTTCTTCCAGTTAGGGTTAGTTTACCCACTTCTCTCATTACCCCTACACAAAGCATGTCTTCCAGTTAGGGTTAGTTTACCCACTTCTCTCATTACCCCTACACAAAGCAGTTTTTTGGTGTGAATTTTATTCCAGTAAAAATATGCAAATAGGGTTCAAAACATCTTTTAATATATAAACCTAGCGTTCATAATGTTGTAAAATAAAAAAAAACTGTACGACTCAGAAATCCAATATCGTCGACTAAAATGGATTTCCAAAGCTTTAATCCCCTGAAAATCAACAATTGAAATTTCAAGCACACGTCTACCGCGTTCACGATAACGCGTCAAACCATAATCACTTCGCCTATCAAACGAAGTTTCTGTTTTATTTTATAAGAAGCTGACGTAAAGTGTGGATGGATGGTATGATAAATAATACAAAAAGTCTAACTTTCACACGATTGATTTATAACATAACATATTATTACAGTATTTATTATTGCCTCACAAAAGGTTTTGTATAAGTTTTAAGTTGTTGTTTGTATTAAGTGAAAACCCGCACAAAGGACTATCTCTGCTCTGCCTACCACGGGTATCGAAACCTGGATTCTAGCGGTATAAGTCTGCAGACAATGCCGCTGTGCCACTGGGAGGCCAAGCTTTAATGTCCTTCCACAGTGTTTCACGTGATTAAATATTAGACGGTCATTGGCCGCAGACGTGTCTTACGGGCCGAAGTTCAAAGGTAACTGATCAAAATAGGAAGTTGGTATAACTCTAAAGCGGCTCTTGATATCAGCCTTATGGTGGCTGTTGGAGTAGAAACTTCAGTTGAATTTATGTATTATTGCAATGGCGGTGGCTATTTCTTTCATTGCATTCCTCCCTGTGATATATATATATATATATAATTTTTGTGTGCTCTCCCCCCATCCCCCACTGCTTGTATATTGTGTTATAGAAGATTTAATTTTTTTTCAGTGTAAGGGCGTGACGTCATCTATAAATGTAGTTATGTTAACTTGCGTCAAGCTACTCTAAGACCGTCTGCGCTAGCCATCCCTAATTTAGAAGTGATAGACTACAGAGAAGGCAGCTAGTCAACACTACCCATTGCCAACTCTTGGGCAAATCTTTTATCAACGAATAGTAGGACTGACCGTCACATTATAACGCCCCCATGGCTGAAAGAGCGAGCGTGTTCGGTGATGGTAATTCGAACCCGCACATTGCGAGTCGAGCGTCCTAACCATTAGTCCATGCCAGGCCTATTTAGAATACATCCACATTTATTAAGTATAAACAGGCTTTACGCAGATCCACTTTCTCAAGTGCAACCTGACAATAAATTCTGAAATTTTGTAGTGTCGTACAATCTGACGCTGCCTTTTCTTTCTTTCAGGTTCACCTTACAGAACAGCTCTCTCAAGCGCCATATTGAAACTGCAAGAAAGCGGTGTTCTACATATGCTGAAACAAAGATGGTGGAAGCGCAAAGGTCCTCCATGTACACTAGAAGAGAAGACTGGATCCGGGTCTGCTAGTGAACTTGGTTTGGACAACGTAGGAGGTGTCTTTGTTGTTCTTATGGCTGGATTAGGCTTTGCGTGCATTATTTCTGTATGTGAATTTATTTGGAGATCACGAAAAGTTGCTGTAGAAGAACGGGTAAGAAAAATTAATTAAGATGTTGACCAGTAACGTTGGTTTCTTTTTAACTCTTGAAAGACATTTTATACGTACATGATGACTTTTTTAATTGTATTTCAGTAAAGCATTTCTATACTTACTTAAGAAACTCAAAATATTTCTTCCTTTGTTTTTCGAAACCAACTTAAATATGTTTGGATCATTATTGAAAAAAAAACGTATTATTTTAGCGCAACTTTCTTTTGATCTAATGTATTTTTAGTTGTTTTTTTTCAAACTGATATTGCTACTACTGTTTGCAAGAAACTTTTACGTGATTGTTTTGTAGGAGAAATTCAAGCCCAGTAAATAAAATTGACACTTTTTAAGGTGAATTATCAAAAACATGACATGCGGATAAAAAATCAGACATAATCACGCATATGTACTTAGCTACTCAAAGTTTATTTTGGATAACAAATATTACATAATGTCGCTGTGCTATTCCGGTTTGTTCCACGATTACCTTCTGTTTTCTAAAATGCGTATTTGCTGAGAACTGACTGGTCGTTCTCGGGTGTTTAGATATTTAAAGAACTCGATTCCAAATATTTTCTGCTTATGATACGATGTCACCGATTTATTTACCTGTTATACCGTCCACAGAATCGTGAGCGACATCTCATTGTTTGTGGCCTGGTAACTAGTAGGAAAAAAATAATAATAATAAGTTCTAACGTATCGCATTCGATTTCTTCGTGTATCCGACTTTAAATTAAACAGAGTTTAAATTCCTTATTCGTTCTATTAGGATTATAGTAACGATACCTTTGTATATTACTCACATTAAAAGAAAATATCACATGTTTGTGCAAGCACTTGCATGATATTTGTGCGTGTGGTGTGTACTTAAGCGGTTTCTTTTATCTTCGAAGCGCAGTTTGTGAGTTATATTCTATTTTTGGATTGTATTACAAGTTGTAATTAGTAACTTACTATCTTCTATATAGGAACCGCTCTGTGTAGAGCTGTGTAATGAACTAAAATTTGCCATCACTTGTGGAGGATCAACCAAACCAGTTAAAAAAGCTCGTGAGGATCGCCAACCTGAAAACGGCCTTCCCTTCATGCCCCTTGCAGGATTTGAAAACGTGGATTCCAAAGCAACAGTTTCTTGACATGAGGACACTGGGCTGCCTCTACAGCCCCTCACTGATGATGGCGTTAGTTACTTCCGATATGCGCAGGACGATGTTAGCGTCATCTAGTAGGAGATTTATGTCGGAGAAGAGTTACATATATTTTACTGATGTCTGTCTGTTTTCTGGTAAAGATGTTTTTGTTTACAAATATGCTGAAAAAATCAACTTAAATCGAGAGCTGTTTTGATCACCTTATGAACGCAGAAAGGTAGCTTAGTGTTCGCAAGTTGTCCGATTTATGTTGGTAACGTACATCCGACTAATTGCAGCTTACTGTATACCACGAAGGTGTTACCACTCAATGCTAAAATATCAGTTGTTGAATTCATGTTAGAAGGAACCATTTCATTAAATTCATAAATAGTAGCTAGCATGTAATGACATAGAGATTTGCAAGTATCGTGATTACATCTATAAATATCCACATGAAAATGTATCACTACTCTTGTCAGTGGTATAGTTCATTGGCCTATAGGCTTCTCAAAAATGAAAATTTGGGTAGGCGTTTCTATATGAAAAATTTTACTCAGGTAATTAAGTGAAACACAAAAAAAGGAACAATTTATCTGCTTACTGTTTCTTCTATATTTCATTCGTAAAGTTAAACAGTTAATATTTATTTTTTATCTAATCAATAATTCATAATACAAATGACAAAAAAGTATCAGTGTGTGACCAACCTCTGTAAAAAGTGTCTGGGTGTAATTCAGCCTGAACTACACGACTGCTATTGTTTTTCTCAGACATGAAATAAAATATTTGTAAAAAAATAATAAAGGCAGCAAAAACCGTAAGTGGTGGTAATAATGCTCAAAGGTGCTTTTACCTTACACCGATGATTGAACGTTTGTTTCTTAAAGCTTTGAATTGCTCCAGACTGCTCATGTATATCAAAATGCTCAACAAAAGGTTTGTTTTCAATGTAAATAAACCCACACTGACGTTTATATTGAACATTCTTAGATTATAAACAGTACATATATAAGAAATGTGTCTTTTTTTATATCCATGGTGTGCAGCCTTAAGAGGATTTTTCAGTTTTACATATTTAGTTTATCCATCAGTTGTTACGGCCATGTTCCAATCAATACACTTACAAAGTATGGTTAGTTTAATATTAACAGAAACAGGCCAGAGCCGATCCATAAAACCGGTTCAACCACGCTCAGAAAAACACAATCCAGTTCATTCCTATTCATGCCAATACTGATGCACTTAACCTTTTCAAAGCAAGAACCGGTTCTATCACGCCCAGACAAACAAATCCTAGTCCGTTCCTGTCCATGCTGATAAAGTAATAACGTTCAGGTCATTTTTAATGGATTAAATACGCTTTAATGAGATACAGACGATTCAATTCAAATACGATTCAGTCAACCCAGTTTTAAACCTATCTAATTGGCTCACTTTCAAGAAAAATAAATTTAAATGGTTAATTTTTTAGCAAACAGCAACTTAATCGTTAAAAGTGTGTAGTAATATTTTGAATACGTCAACAAAGAATTCTGATAACAACAGGCAAACACTGAAATAGTTTTTTATTGTCGAATTACGTATGTCACCATTAAATCACCGCCATCATCACTAAGTCCGTTTAAATTAAAATGTCTGCAATACAGTCGAAGTTTTTAAAGAAAACCATTATTAGTTTTATAAGAAATTTTTTCGAAAATTAACAAAGGATACTCAAAAAGTAAAAATGTAAAAAGCAGAAGTTGATGTATTATCATTAAGGATTAACTGTTGAAATATTATTCCTTAACTATTTCATTAACATTTCAGTATCTTGAAGCTTTCCGACTGATTTGTCGGATACTTTGATGTAACTTTAAATTTTAGTATTTTCGTACAGATATGAAATTAGGGTACTAATAGTTTTGATCAAATACTCTTTACACATTGCCCACCGCTCTCTACTATCGAGAGTATTCGTAGCCTGCGGCAAGCTGAAGTTACTGGTCGCCTCTCACCACACCTAACTTAATTCTTAGTTTTACTTTCTCAGAAAACAAATTAAAAAGAGGACAGAATACGCCTGTACAATCGAAATGTACCGATTAAGATGTTAAATCTGTTCTATTTATTTCACATAAAATAACCCTACTGATTCAATTACTTTACCGGGCTCATAAATTCATGAACGTGACATATATGATTCAACCAATAATATAATACGATTCTATTTACTAAGAACAATTTCGAAAGAAAGAAATTAAAACTTGTTAAAAAGACACAGTCACAACATACGAGGTAGTTTTAAAAATATACGTGATAACGATTAAACTGTGTGAAAATAACATTTTTTGTCATAAAAATAATTTGAAATGGATTTTTGATATTTGTTTTTTAAAAGTGAACTGTTGTTAAACGTTTAATATTCATTTACTTCAGCGCCTATATTGAACTTGAAATAAGTTCTACAATTTTTGTCTCCCATATAGATATATTACACACGTAATAAACATGATATGCTTAAGTGGAAGAATGATATACGGAAAAGGCCCACCATTTTTTTACATGTAAAAACATCACAATCGGTAACACAAATATACCAACTCCGAAATGGTTTTATTTCCTTAATAGGATATTAGTGTTCACAGAAATACGGTTCTACACTTCTGAAATATTTTTGAATTGAATATATTAACGTGTAATAAACTTTTGCATTTCTTGTTACATAATGTACCTAAACGTGCAAACAAATATGACGCTGAAATATTCCAGGTTTTAGCTCTAGCACTTTTGTCTTCGTTGCTGTAAACGTTACATTAAATGGTGTAAAGTTATTGATAATATATGTTACGTGATACAAAGTGAAACTTCTTTGTATGGTTCTTTCTGCCACCCAGTAAAGTCTTCTAGTTACATCTTGTCACTACCCAATCAGATAAATATTTTTCTTCTTCTGACTTTCGATTTCCCCATGAATTGTAAAATAACTTGGTGTTCCGATCAATAAAATAAATATAAACAAGCCAATTTATCTACTTATGCTTTCTTCTTCTTGGCCTAACGATTACGCAAATAACAGTATTCCTCTAGAAGAATGGATAATTTAGTCACGATAGAGAACATAAACACATATTTAAACTATTTTCTTCACTTTTATAACTTAGTGTATAGCGTTTCAGCCTTAGATTCACATCAGACGATGGAAGAGACAGAAACGACTGCTAGTAGAACGTCAGCTAAAAATATACAAGGTCGATAAAAATCGTATTAAACTGCACAACATTGTTTTATACATTGTTCATAATTTGTCTCTTACGGATTTCAAGTTGAATTAACTAAGGCGATGCCTATTGCAAGCTGACGGATATAAACAGATATTGTTGCATAAAGCTCCTTTTATATAGTTAATTATTACTTCATATGTAAGAGAGTCTACTTTACTCAAATAACATTCATTTATATAATTTATATGTCTACGTTTAACGATGGAGTGAATATATTAAGTATAGCAGTACACTTACCTTTAAAAGAAACAGATTTTGTTGTCTAATAGTCTGTAGCCCTAATAAGCATTCCGATGTTTGGAAAGATACTGAACGACTTGGTGCAAACCTAAGGTGAAATAAGGGACACATTGCATATTATAGTGAAGAATAAATAATAACGGACTAATATTTCCAAATCAAACTCTCTGTCAGAAAACAATTAAGAATTCCCGATACCTTTACAATACTAAAAATACCTTAAAGTCACTATGAAATGAATTAAGATAAATCACAAAACCAAATGGATTTTGGTGGTAAAGAAAACATTATGCTAAGTAGCTAGAACAATACTTTAAAATCAGATATGCACTTGGTTGGTTTTACATGATTAAATAAGAGAGACTGAAACATAAAAAAAACAAAAAAAAACATATGCTGAAAGAAAAGGCAGATGTTACACTATTCCACATGGTAAATTGGTGTACAACGCTGAAAATATTGTCACAACAGTGTTATTTTTGTTGGTGAAAAGAAAAATAACTTGAGGACCCAGTTTTTGTGACAGCCTCGAGAAACTGTCCAGGTACAATTGCAGAAAAACACTGAGATAATAGGAGTTCCCCTCATACAGACCTACAACAACTTATGTTCAATCTATGCTAAATGTACGACGACTTTCCTAAGTTACGATAACGGCCGAATCCATAAGTTTGTCACTGATGCCGGACAAGACCTTTCGTATCACTATGTAAAGTGAAAGAAGTATCTTTACTGACTCTTATATTCAGTGACATACAAAAATTCTGGTTAAAGTATGGTGAACATTAAATTTATGTAGAAAATATATGATTATGTAGAGTTTGAACCGTTTATTTTCAATATTAAGTATAATGTAAATACATAGATAGCGAAACTGTATTATAATTGACTTGTTCACCTTTTGTTTTCATAATTTTTCTGCCATATTGATCACTGTCTTCTTTTATCAAAACCGCGAGTCAGATAGTGTTTTACATTCAGGAAAAAGCGTTATCTGTGTTAACGAACATAAAAGGTCGAAATCTTTCCTAAAACTTGATGTCCTGCCCTGTATATCTTCTAAAACCAAATTTTAACTATCTGGTCAGTGGTCTCGAATATCAAACACGTGACTTATGACAGGAATAGGCTGAAAGAGACCAAGCAAATGTATAGACTATATGCAGTTAGTAAGAAACAAGTTATATTTGACAAAGAGGTAACAACAGTAATTGTTATTTACATAGATTCTTTAAACTCAACTGATATATAAAGCTAAACGTGAAAATATGCGTCCTTTTCAGGACAAATCGTCTGATATATAGCAACACTGATTTTAGTTGTTACCGTAACATTGTTATATATAATTATATTTTATGAGTCTATGAAAATTATAACATGAGATAATTCAACTGAACTTTTGACCAGTTGTTCGCTATCATTTATAAACCATATAAAATCATACATACTGAGTTGGAATGAACAATATTTGCATGAAAGCTAATCCAAATAATTATAAACAATGATGCTTATACTACCTGAAATTTTGCTGATTGTATATGATAGCATATTGGACTATGACGAAACGTGAATTTTATGTAAGAAAACTGAATTGTATAATCCATGTTACCGAAACATTGTTTCAAAATCTTTGAAATAATCACTTGATTTATATCTAAAGTTCCTTGTGTTCATTTGGAAAACTAATAAGTTTAACTAAAAGATATGGAAATAGAATTTCTGGTTTGTAGATACGAAATCGTTACTGGTTTAGATGAATACAAGGTCAAACTTTCCTAATCTTGCCATCAGCTATTATGCATCAGTAATATGATTAAATAGCCCACCCATTAGTTAATAATATTATCGTCCTATAGAAACACAAGTAAATGTAAAATAAAATGAGACATGTTGATATTTACATGCTGTCATACGGAAATACAGAAACATCTTTGTAAAATGTACGCGATTAAACATAAGTTGAAACCTCTATACAATCCTTAGTAATATTTCCCACCTTTGTAAACATATGTAATATAAATCAATACAAAAACATAAGTTGAGACCTGTATGCAGCCCTACTGGATTGTAAGCCTTTGTTAATTGTATTTAATGATTTACTTATGAAGCATAACTGTAAATACATGGTTATGAAATTAGATTAAATTATTAGTTTTAAGACTTTGTTACTGTAATGTTATGTTGATTTACAGTATGGCAATGCACTTGAAGAAAGCATATGACCAAATACTTGTACTTTGTTTAAAAACATAAAAAACGTACCAAAAAATAGTTTTTATATTTTGAGTGTGTATACCATTAAGTTTCTATTAACCATTTTATCTATTGTATCATGGTGTTGAGTAAAATGAAAAACACCAGTGTACTTAACCTGTTGTAGGTGGAATGAAAGAGGAGGTGTGAAGTTAAAAAAACTAACACTTTAGTAAGAATAAATAAACTCAATGGCTGATAGTTTGTGTGGAAGACAATTGCATTGTGGGATAGTAAAAACAAACATTTCATTAAGCAACTGGGAGACAATTTTTATGTAACACAGTGAACAAATAAAAATCTTAAAATAAGTAGTTAAATCCTTCCAGAGTAACTAAATTAATACTCCATCATTAGAATTCAACTTCACTTACATTTTCTTGCAGATTTTGTTTTAGAAATAATTCTCTTATTTTAATACTTTAAGGGATGCACTACAGTAATGCTGATTCTTTTTTTTCAATCTATAGGCAAACTGCAAAATAATTATATATTTTTTCTAAACTTCAGTACCTTTTACTTACCACATCTTTCAGTTCCACTAATGTACTTAACCGAACCATTAGTTAAATTAGTTACTTATGTTCATGTTCCCACCAGAGAACATGACCTCTCCAATACGTCACAGGATACCTCCAATATATGTTCCACTGTGACTGTGATAAACTTTATTTTGGAGAAAATCAAACCTAAACGGGTACGATATACGAGTGATCTGCTTGCCATACTTAAACAGGGTACGATATACGAGTGATATGCTTGCCATACTTAAACAGGGTACGATATACGAGTGATCTGCTTGCCATACTTAAACAGGGTACGATATACAAGTGATCTGCTTGCCATACTTAAACAGGGTACGATATACAAGTGATCTGCTTGCCATACTTAAACAGGGTACGATATACGAGTGATCTGCTTGCCATACTTAAACAGGGTACGATATACGAAGTGATCTGCTTGCCATACTTAAACAGGGTAAGATATACAAGTGATCTGCTTGCCATACTTAAACAGGGTACGATATACAAGTGATCTGCTTGCAATACTTAAACAGGGTACGATATACGAGTGATATGCTTGCCATACTTAAACAAGGTACGATATACGAGTGATCTGCTTGCCATACTTAAACAGGTACGATATACGAGTGATCTGCTTACCATACTTAAACAGGGTACGATATACGAGTGATATGCTTACCATACTTAATATAGGGTACGATATACAAGTGATCTGCTTGCCATACTTAAAAAGGTACGATATACAAGTGATCTGCTTGCTTCTAATGATGTATTTTTTAGTTTACAAGAATAGAATTGTCAATAGTTTACAAACATCAGAATGTGTAATATTAAATTGAAGAGCCCACTCTGCTAAGTCACGTTGAATATTGATTTCGCATCTACGTCATCATCTTCTTCTGTGTTGATTTAATTATCATCTGTACTACCAACACCTTGCCACTCATCAAATAAATCAGGATATGGACTTCTTCCAAAATTGTCATTTTCACGTTTCTCTTCTGAAAGGCCATTAACAAAACCTGGATTTTTAATCATTATCTTTTAAATCCTCCTCAGCATTTTTACTACATGGAATATTTTCACCAGTATTTCCATAAGATGTAATGGATGTATGACCTTCCTAGCCATCAGTTTTTAAATGGGTCAGAGTGTTAAAAAAATGTTTAGCTTTCGACAGCTGGCTTGTCATTAAAGTTTTCTTTTGTTCATTTCTGTCTCATAAAGAACAGAATTTCCAAGTCTTTATTGAGATCTCAACCTTACCCAGGTTGATAAATTCTAACTTATTGTTTCATAAAATGTAGCATCTTTAAACATAACTATATTTTTTGCTTTACTTTGTTGGAGCCTAAAATGTACAAGTTATCATGAACTCCGCAAATTAAAGCTGTAGAAAATTAAACTTATAATTATTGCAAAATATCAGAGGCAGATATTGTAAACTTTCACATACTGAGAGTGGATTCAAAGTACGATAACAATCCATAAAATCAAATGAAAGCTGAGGCTATTAGGATAAATAATTGTGAATATCTATTACAATTTTGGATTTAATTTGTTATTTTTCAAATTGTTATTTCTCTCTATTTTGATTATTTTACTACAGTTAGCGAAAGACTTTTGATAGCCATTCAGGAGGTTCTAGGTATTGTGTAAATGAAATAAGAAAAGTGTAAGATGAAAGTATGAAAAAAAAATTTTAATTTTAACATGAATATAAAGTTTTACTCAGAATCAC